GTCGTGTGCATTCTTTCAGCATCGTTTATTTAAAAAAAAACCAAACAAAAAAAGAACTGCTATTTGTAATTCGGATCGTGGCGGTGCAAAGTGCGAATGTTCTAGATGAATTCGTCCGGGGGACGTACACAGCAGCCAACTCGTCTAATTATATGCAGACAGCTTGTCGCTCCTAATCCTTCCCCCGAATACCCGAGCTTTCACTCGTGTTATTTAAATACCACACGATCTCACGATTTCGTGTGCGCTGGTTACGTATTCGATAACGGGCGCTACGTTTCCAGTGTGTTTGCTTTGGCTAAGACTTCCGAAAAAATTGACTATCAAACGCATCGCGAAACCCCTTGAACAAACTGAGTTGTTTGTGTATATTATCGGTGAAAAATATGGGAAAATATTTTGGATTCAATGAAAGTGAAAATTGATAGTTCCAGTGTTAATATTCGCAAATGTATTTTAAATAGATGCAGGCTAAAAAAAGGTGTCTTAATCTGTCCCTCAAGAGGTTAATACGCAGAGGCAATAATTCAGACGTCCCGAAATTTTTGGCGGGTAGTGTATGGCGCGTCGAGGCTCGCGAAATAAGGGGAAAGAAGAAAGAACGCGATGAATCCCAGCAACGTGACTGAATTAGAATTAACATCAGAAACAAACAGAAACATGGCGCACGATCCACGATTCGCCAGGCGAAAAAAACCGTCATACGCGTTATTATCGACACTTTATTGCTAAAACACCGTAATCATGGTAACTTGATTACGCGTTAACGATTACCTGCTTCTTTTTTGCAGCGATCTTTGGGTATACTGGATCTGTTCCCGGTAACCGGTCGAGTACGTGCGCGCCGTTCTCGCTTCGACATACATATGTATGTACCAGAGTTGGGCAGAATTTTATTCGAATAATACACAGTGAAAAGCAGCAATATCTAAGGGTGTCGTTCTGAGCTTTAACCAGTTAATGAAATTAAATAACTGTTCGACAAATGTCGATTCATTCATAAAGCAGTATTATTTTATTATAAAAATTGAAATTTCCACGTTTAAACACTTAAAAATGACAAAATACTTTTTTGATCTTTTATTCAATATTCGAAACTTTTTATCTAGATAACGAGTTTGCTCATCTCTGGTACGTACCAACAGACACGTGTGAATTTTGCTATCGTTCGCCCGATAGGTCGGTATACACGCCGGGAATTCGACGAAACACCGTGAATCGTAAAAGCAGCGGTCACCATACGTGATCGAAATGTTACGACTCCGGCTACGAGACCTCTTCGAATCGCGACAATACATGCAACATATATTCGTGATGGAATTCGAATACGACGCGAAGAAAGACGATCTTCTTCGTCGTTCCCGCGTCACGTTAATCCCGAAACCGATTGGCTAAGTGAAAAATACAGTTGGATCTTTGTTTAGGCGAACTTTATTTCGAGCTGAAGTAAAATAAAGACCTGTCGCATTGTAGAATACGGAACAGGGATATGAAACTGGGGAACGTTAGAATATGAACCGCAAATGTTTGATGTGAAATATAAAATGGGAGCAATGTACCCCCACGAGCAAACTCGGCTTCCGCTAGGGGAAAAAGTGGCGTAGGGAGCATTCTAATGTTTATTTCAGTACTTGAAATAAATTTACCAAGTGGTAGGAGGCCCGTCTCCTACGTCACTTCTTCCCCTAGCGGAAGCCGAGTTTGCTCATCGGTGTACGTGGAATCGGAACTACCAAATCCGTTATGAGGGATTAGGATGTTAGGAAAAACGGGAGGGCGCTGTGGCTGTGGTGGTTAAAGCACTGGCTCTCTCTCGGCTATCGAAGGATCCGATGAATGCGGGTTCGACTCCGGGTCCCCCCCATCCTCTTTTCTTATGTGCTTAGGTATGCAAGTCATGAATATTACATGTGGGAGTATCAGTATGTGGAATGCAAAACGGAGAAAACTATTAAATAGGGAATGAGAGAAATGTGTATAAATGGTACTCTTGTAAAAAATACGCATTGCTGATTACATGGAATATAAATAATGGAATTTCTAGAGACGTAGAAATGTTGGAATAATGCGAAATTAGGCATTTCAAACGTAGAAAATGTGATTTGAAATTGTGTAGAAAATGAAGCATATGTATAGTAGTAAGAAGAGGACCGGATATAAGAAATCTTGAGAAGTGTAAATACAGAATTACAAAAACGTGAAATGTTGTAGTTGACGAAGAATGTGGAGCGAAAGAACATAATATGTACGAACGTGGAATGTGAAGGTGGATTCCCTCGGTAATATAGCCTTCGAGCAACTAACCACGACAAATAACGGATATTTTCCTGTTTATTACACAATCGCAGAATTTTCCACAAGCCGTGGATATCATTTAAAATGTGCGGATGAGATTCTCACGACGGGAGACGAAGAAAGTAGAAAACTGACTGCAAATAAATATCTGAATACAAATATGTCCATGTTTATCCTACGACAACGAAAGGTTCGACAATCGTGTATGTTGTTTTCTTCTAATGTTATCGTAAACGACTTTTTCAATCGTCCTTTCGATGCTATTGCTTAATAGTATATTCTTACGAGAACGTCGCGTGACGGACTTCACTGCGTATTATTTATAAACACGAGCTGAACTGGAAGTACTATTTATAAAAGAAAAAAAATGCGTCTAAAACGAGTTTAAGGTAATATACACTGCTTGTATTAGAAATACCGTGACCGACAGAGTTATATTAAATATACATCGAAAATCACACTCACCGACTCATTTTCCTTTCAGAATCAACATGCTAACGCTTAATTTATATCGACCACCTTTCACCTTATTTATATCGACGATAATTTTCCATCGACTCTACGTAGTTAAACGACCCATCGTAGAACCACTTTTCATACGAAACACGATTACTTGAAAAATGATACTGACGAACCAGCGTGAAGCCTGCTATTACATACTTTCTATTAGATCGGTCCAGAACATGCGTTCTTTTAATTCATATCATAAGGACTGTAGAATCACGAGGAACGACTGAAAACAATCCGCCATTACACTTCTCAAACATTCGTTGCCGTGGCAGATCCTGATCAGCCTCTGATTCTAGATTCTACTTTGAAAAACACAAAAACATACGAGATAAATAACACGAGCTAACAAAAAAACAACAATCATTTTTTATCACCTGAAGTATTGCATGCGGTCTTTACAATATTTTTTTTACTCGAAACGTGTTTCCAGTTCGATAACATCAGGCACGGTTTTCAGACGACATAAGTTTCAAAATCTTGAATTCGAATTAAAATATCGAGATTATACGTAATTACATTAAATATAAATTAACGTGTACGTGTACCCGTTAGAATAAAAACGAATATACAATATAACTATCTAAAAAGAAAAACAAATGTCCTACTAATTTGCTAACCTCAATTTACACTTCCATGTTATTTATAATCTACCAGAATTACAACATGTAATTCGACAGAGTACTAATCATCATTATTCACTAGGTGCATTTTTTTCCTCATCAGGCGTTAATTCACTTTCTGGGGCGAGTGTGCTCGTTTTGTTAAATCGCAAACATTTCAATCACCTGTACGAACGTCCGCTCGCGACACCGGCGACGCGGTACGGAGGAGAGCTCAATGATCACGACGATCTCGATTTAGACGCGCGCGCGTTTCGTATTTTACGTAACTTTCACCGCGTGCAAGGTAGAGGTGAGAATGCAACCAGTATTCTTAGACACTCGGAAACCGAGCGACGGCGGCGGCACGGTGTTCAAAGAGGCCTCGTGAACGTGAAACGTCCGTGGCAGAGCTCCGTTTTGTTTTTCACAAAATGTAATCGGAACACGACACGGTCAGTCAATGGTAGCTGGCAGCGTCAACCAAGGATTCCTCCGAGGATTCCTCGCGTCCGCTGTCCGTAAATTTAGCAGTCTGTTACACCCGGTTCTACGGAATTATGCCCCCTACAGGCGACGGAAGGGAAAAGACGAACGGGAAAAACCACCTTCGGGAGGGGGACTAGCGAAGTTCGTTCGGTGATCGAGCGCGAAATGTAAATAATCCCCAGACAGGGTGGATGCACCAGTAAACAAACACGTACACCCACGAGCAAACTCGGCTTCCACTAGGGGAAAAAGTGGCGTAACAGAAAGGCCTCCTACCACTTGGTAAATTTATTTCAAGGAGTGAAATAAATGTTAAATCGAATATTAACTTGGCATAAATTTTAATAATTCCAAATACCACGTGGTAGTAGAACTTCCTTTCTTCTCAATTTAATGAATTGCATTTTTCCAATTTTTTAAATTGAAACCTCGGTAACGTTATAAAAACAGCATAGTTATTAAAAAATCTACTTTTCTTGGTCCAAATATTGTTCTAATATTAGTATCGTTTAAAATTGGGTTTTAATAGTTACAAAATTTCTTAAGTGTTCATTGGTGCCGTTTACCCTAACGATAAATATAATGCGATCCGAATGTTTCCAAATGACAACGAGACTGAGTTCCAGTGACGAAATATCGTAAAGTAAATGATCGGTACATCGCAGTTCGATATCAACAATGACGGATTGTCCGCGTGGCGAAACAATTCGTTTAACTTTCCGATCGCGATAACGTAATCCTTGCTTCCGAAATAAAAATTCGATGCACCTTTGTTACGGTTCTATTTCTATGCACACTGTTAGACAGCTCGTTTGGATCATTTATTTGGATAAATGAACATTTTCCTCGTAAACATTTCTGTTTGGTTAAAAATATGACATACTAAAGGAGAAAGAATGAACTATTTAAAAGAATGAACTTCAGCTAAAAGTTCTGAAGAGTAATATACAGAAATTAGAAAAAATGTATTATAACAATATTTTAAGTATTATTTATTCGGACATACTTCTTTATAAATTCGTTTACACCCGTTGTGAATCAGTGTGTACGCCAAGCGATTGCTAACTCGTCACGAAATAATGCCAACGTTCTTCTCGATCTACTTACTGCAGGCTTTTTGCCAATGGCGCTCGCATCGCTGTAGGACGTAACCTTCACGTAAGGACTGGAAGCGGATATCGGCACGGTGATCATTTTTCCGTCCTTTGACTTTCCCCTTCACTCCCATCGGCGGTAGAAAAATCGAATGCGACGACCTCGACGATTTTCGCGGGGTTTCTGCCCGGCTGATGGAAATCTGACAGATTTTTACTTCCTATGGCGGGAGTTTTCTAGGAAGATGAACTTCCAAGATTACGAGAAAATCATTTTTAATGTCAAGTCTTTTATAAGTTTCTCACGTTTCACGTTCCACCGTCACTATTTATGTGGATGTATTACTCAATCATTGCGATCTCTAGATCGAAGTTTCAGGCGTTTATTACCCTCAGAAAAAAGTATCAATACAGGTTGTAAGGAAAATAAGCAGTGAAATATCTAATTCCTTGCAGGTATGTAGTTTTTCCACGAACCAGTGTCGAGGTTTCTTCCTGCGCTTGGTATTAACAAAATATTTAACCATAACATCCAAGTGAAATAAGATTAATATTATACTTTTCGTTATGCTCTACCTTATATACGCACATACAGTGATTAGAAAACGTATTTGCAAATGATTTTGTAAAAGATCCACACGTGTGTTTGCGCGCGCGTTTGCAAAACACTTCTCTGTTATCCACCGGAAATAAATGTTGCTTCTGTCAATTCGCCATTGTTTACTTTTCAGCTAAAGGTGGTTCATAGAGACGATCGAATAACTCTCACAACTGTGTACTAACGGACGAAATCGGTTCCCGAGTTTCTCCGTAGAGTCACGACATCTCGACAGCGAGTCAGAAATAATTTATTTTCGAGCGAACTTGGGACTACCTTCAAGGCTGTCCACAATAGTTGACCTTATTCTCCTTTACGGCAGGATCGAATCTTCTCGGAAGAATTTAACGAAGAAACGACGCGAGGATCGATTGTTTGCACGTTTTTCTGTGTATATAGTGGGGCGATGATCCAGTATTATATCCTATCCTGTTATGATCATTCCGTTCGTCAAACATCCGCGATCGAACGGTTTGCACTTCGATGCTTTTTACTGACGATCGTCGTCTAGTTCAAAGGACTTTCACGTAGCAGCCAGTGGCGCGCGAATTTCATATCACCCACAAAAATGATTTCGCTTCGATTCCATGGTGATTCTCGATCAACGCACAATTTCAATTCTTTCACCGATCAAATTTTCTCTTTCAATGTCACTTGTCATCACTTGTTCACGCGAGTCACGATTTTGATGTCTCTTATTTTCCGTCCCGTTTGAAACGAAACGAGTGTCAGAAGAACGTTTGTGTAAAGTTTGTACGCAGTTGCTTGAAAATGGTTTTTAAAGGCACAACGGTGGGGGGAAGGGGGGAGGACCACGCGACAACACCTTTACCGACCGACGAGCAAACATCGACTGACGAGCGTGGTGCGCCTCGACGGTTGAGGAGACGAATGGACCTCTCACGATTGGCTGTCGCGTGCTTCCAGGTAACGCTAGTCCGGCCGGATTATTCGCATAGAAGTTGCAGTGGAAGGGCGATCCAAGTGTTATCGAACTGCGACTTCTGTCGCCAGACATTCTGTATCGTTATCAAAATGTATCGGAACTCGTGGGCGATTATTGCCCGTTCCATTGTTTGCCCCCGGAAACTGATCATAAATTATTTCAAACAACAGTATGTTTCAAATACGTTTCTTTTATCCGTATTTTAACACCTTTCTACCTGGAAACATATTTAATATGCTTTTCTGATGTCAATGTTTACTGTCGAGAAGCCTCATTAATTTCCCTTTAAATTAGAGTGGGAAAGGTTAGGTTAGGTGCTTCGTTGTTTCACGATTCTAATTTGCGATCAGGAATGAAAAATATTGAGATGGAAACCATAAAATACTCCGATAGATGAAGTATACAAAATTATATGGAGGAGATATAATATACCGGGGGTGTACTGTAATAACTAGTACAATCGAAGAAGTTATTTTGTCGGAAAGTTCCATACGAAAAAAATGTTATTCTATATTTTCGGTTTGCTTTTTTTTATATACAAATTATTTTCTTAATTATTAAAAGTACGTTTGTATGTATACAATTTTATCACTTATTCAAGCCTATTTTCACAACCTAGTTTGTTCGCCCCCATATCGACGTCGACATTAATTTCTTATCCCTCGTTTATTGTCGACGAGTAAAACAGGTTAGGTTCATGGAAATTATACACCTAATTATCTCGTACGCCATTAGAAACGCGAGAAGTTAAATATTGGACGTTTTTCTAAGGCAAATCGGGCGTGATCATTTTTTCCCCGAAGTCATTTACCATAAAATATATAATATTTAATATTCTTTTTATAAATATAGAATTATTACAAAACCAACCCTCTCGATCACCACCAAATATATAATAAACAATTAAGTATTTATGTGTCCAATTGTAAACAATTACGTACCGATTCGATACAGAACAATCAAGAATAATTTATACATTAATTTTCATCTCTAGAGACGATTCTATTAGACAATGGCGGTTATGTAATAGCATATTAGCGTGGATAGTTGAAGGTTAAGCAGCGGCAAGCCAGTCGTGAGGCGTTTAATAATTTATAATATCTACTGTTTAACAATTCGCTGTCAGTTTGTTAAACATAGAATACAAGCTATGTCGAACGGTGAAAATTATTCATTGAGAAAATAACGACGATTTGATTGCCAGCTGCTTTACGTTCCCCGATAAATATGGATAAGCGTCATTTTCACACAATGCGCGCCACGGCGAAACTTTTTGTTTCCGATTTCACTCCGACGAATTCGTTCAACCGCGCTTCCATAATCGTTCTCGCTGAGATTATGATGCTGAATGTAAATGCTCTCGCGAAGAGGACCATCGATTTAAACGGTGATTTCCATATTTATCGTCAAAGTTTCGGTCTAACTGCAGATATAATTCTTACGCTACTTAGGAGTGATTCACTCTTTCAGACCACACAGGATAAAACTATACGAACACTATACTTGTCTCCCTTGATGATTTTTTTTTTTTGTCGATGTATCAACATTCTTTTACACGATACGCTCTTATTTCGTTAAATATTCTCGTCGCACAGCGGATAATTATCGAGGTTACAGAGTGTGTTTCCAAGCACAAAGCACGATAAACTGAAAGGTTTAATAGTGTACGATAAAATCTTTATTTCGTTTTCAACCTAATAAAACAGTTAACAGCGGGAAAGGCAGCGAACTGGCCTATAAAAATCTGAATTTGCATGAATATCCACGTTCTAATGGATCGTACTCCCCTTATACATCGGTGATGGTATATGATTCAGGTGCGAGATATCATTCGGATATAGTGTGTGCATCGTGACATCTACCGAGGTGTTACTGCATTTACTTTTGTAGATAGTGATTCCTTCAGTAAGTTTTAAGTACCGCAAGACAAATTCCCTGTATGATTGTGCGAGAACGTAAGAGTTGATAACCAAACGACAACTAGTGAGGTATTACTGTAGTGATTTGAAAGTTCGAAATTACCAAGTGTTCAATGTAACGCAGAAATGCGTTTCTTATACGGTAATATCGGGAAGCGTAAATGGAAATATCCAACGAACAACTATTGAGGTATTACTGTAATTCTATGTAAACCTAATAATTACTCAACGTGAGAAGAAAGTTTCTTATATGATAATATTGGGGATCACAAACGGGTGTACCTACGGGACAACCACTGAGATTGTACCGCACTTCGTGTCTCCAGCAATGATTCAATAAAATTCAACAAGATACATCATCCCAAAAACGACCATGATAATGAAAAAATTACTCGTCACTCGGATGAAAAAAAAAACACAATTAACAGTAAAAACGCTATATAACAATACGACATTGGAAAATTTCGATTGCTTGTTTTCGCGTACCTTAACTGTCGTTTCGATACCCGGATAAACAGTGTCGAATATCTCGGTCACGTAGTACAATAATCCATCAAACCAGGGACCAATGATTACAAGCATTCCAGCGAGGCCAATACCGATCGCCAGGCTTCCCGCTCCACGATAACGTGTACAACAATACGTGACCTGGACCGGTTTTTTCTTTCGCAACGATTTTCATGCGTGGATATCTCGCGTGCGTGCCTGCACACTCGCGATATTTTGCGTCCATCATCCAATCCCCGTTCGATAGAGATGTTCGATTCACTTCAAAGAATCGATTCTTAAACATATTAAATTTTTATATAAATCTCTATTACGTGGGGAAGGGAATTAGAGATGAAGTTAATATAAATTTTAAAGTTTGAAATCACTCAGAGATTCTTTTAATAAATACATTTTGCAATTATAAATTAATTAATTATTTGTTTAAACATTCGAAGTTTACCATCTTTCCGTTTCCTAAATCGTACGAATTCATTGCTCAGACGTTAAACGCTTGAGAATTGGGAAATCATGGAGAAAGAATGTACAGTATTCCGTCGATTATTGTCAAGAACTCGGGTCGCGTACAAGCACTGAACAGGAGAAATGTTTCAGACCCTGGTAAGTTTCTTTTTTTTTTTTTGCCCGAAACCCGAGCTTCAGCAACAAAAGTATGCGCTTGATCTAAGAGAATCTAGTCAAAAGATTGATTCTATTAACCACAAGAATCGATTTTATGAAGAACCAAATCGTACATTCGCCTCGAATGATCGCACGGAAAATTCGGCTTCGTGGATAATCGGCTTTAAATACACAGCTGTGGCCTAGACTTATCCATCGCAGGTGAAAAACAACACGAAGTCAGGTTCTCGTTCCGTGAAGGTTTATCGTTCCCCGAGTTTTCGTAAACGTTGAAAATTACGTGTTTCGCCGGAGCGCGCGCGTCCCTCGATGCCAAGAAACCGGAAAATTCCCCAGATGCTCAATGGCGACGATATATCCTTTCTCTCTCTCCCCCTTGTGATTCCCTGTCCGATTGTATTTGGCCTCGCTCGCGCGTATTATTAACCCGCGGGCGATGGAGAGAATTTTAGGCTGATTAAAATGGCTGTCGCGGATGAGAATTGATGATGATGGAAGGAAATTATTATCGGTTTGTAGAGGGTGTCTTCTGGGTTCCGTAGTCAAGATACACAATGTTGTCGGAAGGTAAACATTTTCTAGTCGACGTGACGCAAC